GGGCAGCTTGTCCTTCAGAGCTTGAGTTTATGTAAGAATTGTGCAGTGCGTTAGTACTCACCGGGGCTTGAGAATTTGGCTTTTTCTTCAGTCTGGTGCTTTTCTTGTTGCCTGTGTCCTGTGGGGTGGGGACTGCCATTAAGGGTCCCTTCTCACTGCAGAGGTGTTTGATAGCAAAGGTAATATAAAGATTGTGATTTCTGTGTTAAGTGGAAGAGATTGGGTTCCTGTGAATGAGTGAGAGCGGATTATTAATCACACAACTCCTTTCTCATGCATTTTTGTGCATTTTTTTCCTTTCTGTTAGCCCGTCAGGTCTTTGTAGCTGAGTACCACTGGTAAGCACATAGCCTAGAAAGGAGAAGTTTCTGTCTGGGTCTGATACTCTGTCACAACACAAATACAGGGCTGGCTTGGTGGCGACACATCTGTCAGGAAGATGAAAGGCCTTTAGTCAGTGCCCACTTAGGAAATCAATTCACTTAAGGTCTTGGAACTGATGTCTCAGGGTGTGGGTTTTACAGGCATGCTGTGACATGTCCTTTGAGCTCTATACCTGGAGGCAACTGAGAGCAAACCTGCCTGAGAGCAACCCAGCTGCAGTGAGCTGGAGTTCCTGCTTTTTCCTCCTGTTCCTACTCTTTCTCCTTGTTCAGGTCTTTGCACTGTTGCCTACCATTGCCTCCTCTGGCATTTTTCTTGTCCACTGTGGCCCAGATGCCGTGGCAGCACAGATGAGTTCAGCTGTCTGTGGAGCTGTACCCCCAGGGTGCAGTTTGCAGTGAGAACCTGCTTGCAGAAGGTGAAGGACTTGTCTCTTAGGCTTACCTGTCCCTGGGTCACTCCTCTCCCAGCTGCTTCTGGCATTCATCTGGTAAACAAAGTCTTCTCAGGAGCTCACAGTGGATGATACAGTTGTGATTATTGTTCAAACATTTCAGCTCTACTAGTTCTTACTGCCATTATCATTAAAGTGTTATCATTAAAGCTGTTATTTACCTATAGAAGAGATCTGGATGAATAGTTTGGTACCTAAGGCTTTCTTAATGGTTGCCAGGAGGATTTAGAAGACCATAGTGATGTTGTTTCATCTATATCTTGTCAAGGCAGCTGGCTGCAGGAGGTGCTTGCACTGTGTGGGCTATTCCTGACTAATCCTGTTCAGGTTATGCTCAGTACCTTCTGCTGTTGTCTTTTCTTTATTACTTACTTGTTATCACACCTCACCTTTTAAATGTGAATATGCTTATTTTATATTTTCCTATGTCTCTCTCCAGTTTTGTTGCAGTGGTGCTTTTCAACAGCTATAAACTCCATATGTTCAAGCTCTAACACATAGTGCAACCTAGGCATGTTTTCCTTAATGTTACAGAGAAAAAGCCTCAAAAAAATTGTCAGATGTCTTGGAATCTTGTAGTAATTATTTATTAATAATGCTGTATTTTCTTACTTAAGTGTTTATTAAACTGTTTATGCCAGAGCACTGGTTTACCTCAAGAAGTACTTTGTGGTACACAGCTGAAATGTCTTTTTTGGGTAGAAATACATCATTTTCATAATTTCATTTGCGGGGTAGTGGTGTTACGGAGAAAGAGCAGAAACTTAGTATCGCTACAGTAGAAGTGGAAAGGTAGTAGTGAACACTAATCACATTTGTTATGGCAGAGCATTTGTTCCCTCACAGTTTTTAAAAAACCAGTTCAGTTCATTAAATGGATTCCAAGTGCAGCTCTGTGAGGTGTTGAGGAGACAGTGCTGAGGAACAGCAGTGACTCTGCAGGTACAGGAAGCAGGGAACAGGAGCTCAAGTTGGTTTTGTATGTGTTTCTCGTAATCTTTGGGCACATCTGCTAGTCTCACAGTCGTCCTGTCACTGGGTACCAATAAGAAGGTATTTATACAAATTGATGAGATTTCCCTGGACTCTTCTCAAAACTAAACTTCTCCTTGTATGTTGGATGCTTCAATCTCTTTGATCATCTTTGTGGGCAATTGAAAATGAAGCTATTTTTAGTAGAAAGAAGCATATCCATTCTGATAAGGTATACATTATTTCCAGTATTAATGCAGAGTATGTATGAAGGAGGCAAAATTGTACTAACTTGAATACTGCACAAAATGAAAGGTGCAAAGACAGTGCAGGCAAAGAAATCCCTGCCTCTTTTCCATATAATCTGACATTTTCATTATAGAAAATTTTTATCTTCGCTGAAATTTATTGGGACAATATATGCTTTTGAAATATTGAAATTCTTAGCTGCGCCTGAGAAAAGTAAGACACAGATGCATAAAAGCTAAGAGTTGGATGAGGGCTTTTTAGAGACCTCTCAGTCAGTTGAAGAATGCTTCTTAAGCATTTAGATTTATTGTGTACATATAAAAATTGTAGTGTAGTGTTATGATGTAGACAGCCCACCTTTTCTTTTGACTGCTCTGATTCTGCCATCAAACTTGGGTTGTGTGCTTGTACTGCAAGGCAAGATTCTTTTAAAATCAAAATCTATGCTTTCAAGCGCAAGTAGGGAGTTTCATCTGAGGGTTGTGGTATAAATGAATAAAACTTGTGGAAGCAGGACAGTTCAGTGTTTTTTGAGTACTGAGGTCCTTTTCTTCCTTGCTGATCCCTGTTCCAGAGCTGCCAGACTGGAGTAACTCAATGGATAGCAGCATGCAGCGGATTACTACAGACGACTGCAGTGCAAGGCCAGTGTAAACAGATGCTCTACAGTACTTTCCAGGTAGGATATCAGAGTATTTAAAAATAAAGAGGCTTCCAAAAGTGATGTCTTTACTGTGTATTGCTGAAATACCAAGGCAACTGAAAAGCTCTCTGGTGCTAAAAGGGTGAGCTCCCACTCTTCAATACACAGTTGTCTTTGTTCCTGTCATTTAATGGATCCAAATGATCTGTTGTGAGTAGATGAAACGTGGAACTCCAAATGTAGGTGTTGATTTTCCAAAGCAGCTATTACAAGCTAGTCATGATGGCATGTGATTTCCAGTACTTTATTTTAAAGAACACATTCCACTCTACAGTAGTGTTGGACTTTGTAGTACTGATGGTGTGTTTACCTGGCACAGCACAACATTAAGTAGTGTTGTTTCAGTGGAAAGTACACCTTTACAGTTTTGCTTCCAGTTCTGTAACAGGATCAATGGTGTTAGATTGTGTCTACCCATAGAAAATAAACTAGAACATCTTGTAAGGGCAGTTAATAGTGGGGGAAAAACACGTAGGAAATGGAAGTAGATGCAGGCTCTCTGAAGAAATGATAGTATACTATTGATGTTTCCTTCTTGCATACAATGAAATGAGAGACTAAGCCTTTTCTTTGTCTTCCTGTGTATTACAACTTCTATCATAAAGCCATGACTTAAAGAATTAGAAGCTTACCTGTCAGCTTTTTGGCTTGGATGTCTTTTCTCAGATAAGTCTTCCAATCCTGAGAAAATTGGCTGTGATTTTGTGACACACCGTACTGTTAAAGCACCAGTCCACATCAAGTAGTATAAGATGTGGTGAGTAGAGAGAGAAATGAGCAGTTGTGAAGTTCATGGATAAAGTTGGGCTCACTCTGAGCCACCAGTAGCTTCAGTAGACTTCTGGAGTGACTGCTCTGAAGAAACCAGTATATTTACCTTGTCTGAATTTATTCATTACAAGTTGCTGTTAATCTGGCTGTGCTGGGAGGCTATGATATGTGTTCTCTTCAGTGTGCAGCTTCTTGCCTAGAGATCCCACTCCTACTTGATAGTTTTCTTTCTTGTGCAGTAGCTCTAAGATACAAATCGTATGAAGATCAGGTTTGAGAACATCTAAGAAGGTGCACAGGTCCATATGACCTGCTGACTGGAAAAGAATAAATATAACCCCCATTTTTAAAAGGGGGAAAAAAGAGAAAGATCCAGGGAACTACAGGATGGTCAGTTTTCTCTTGATGCCTGGCAAAATCATGGAGCAGATCCTCCTGAAAGCCATGCTAAGGCATGTGGAAAATAAGGAGGGGCCTTAAAGGGGCTGACAAGAAAGCTGGAGAGGGGCTTTGGCCAAGGGCCTGTAGGAGCAGGACAAGGAGAATGGCTTTAACCTGCCAGAGGGGAGATTGAGATGAGCTCTGAGGCAGAAGCTCTTCCCTGTGAGGGTGCTGAGGCGCTGGCACAGGGTGCCCAGAGAAGCTGTGGCTGCCCCATCGCTGGCAGTGTTCAAGGCCAGGTTGGACACAGGGGCTTGGAGCAACCTGCTCTAGTGGAAGGTGTCCCTGCCCGTGGCAGGGGATTGGGACTGGAGGAGCTTTAAGGTCCCTTCAGCACAAACCACTCTGGGGTTCGATGTGCTGTGAAGCTCTAGTGATTATTAAAAGTGATAGCTTTTACCCTATGATTTGTTTTTCTCAAGTCTTGGCCACAAAGACAATTGAATGGGCTATAAAGTTGTACATAAAAATAGCATGAACTGTTTTTCTGCAAGGCCAGGAAAAATAATGATTCTTTTTTAAGAGACAAAACCTGTAATGTGTGTGAGAGAAATGTTTGCAGATAGCTGGTGAGTGTGGAGAGTGGTGTGTTCTCCAGTCAATTCCATCAGTACCTTTACAAACATTACAAAGTGTGTTTTGTGGAGCATTAAGCATGGGCAACCGTTTTGTTTGCAACAGTTATGATAATAAATTTGTGGGTTTTGTAATGTAATGTTTTCAGGATTAGACTAAGCTGTAATTCACTTGGAAGCAAACCAAGGAAACTGAGGGTAATTGGTGTAAAGTTGTGTCAATGGTCTCTTCATCTTTTTTCTTAATGTTTCTGTTTTCTGTGGTCGTTTTTACTAGAGACACAAGCCTGGGCAGTTCCCACTGTCTGAATCCTGTGGTGGATTGATTCAAGCCAGTGGAGCCATTACACAGCAAAGCAGATCATTCTCCAATACACATAAGGTTAGAAGAGTTTGAGGTTTTTATTGCCTGAAAGGAACATTGTGCTAGGGATTACACAGATACTGGTACTGTTAATTAGTGGTCTTTGTATGTCTTACGTTTATTGTCTTTTGTCTTGGAATAGAAGTTTTCTGGAGCATGAATCATCTCCATAAAATCAGTTTAGCACTTAATCCAAGAGAGTCGGTGTCTTTCAACTAATAAATATCCTGCTCCTGTTAACTCAGTGTAAAGGAAATGGCAAAATGGAATGCATACCTGAAATGAGAGGACAGGAGGAAAAAGAAAGTTAGGGATGAATGGGTAAAGCTTGCAGAGAAACTGCACTCCCAGTTTGTTGTCTGCCTGATTGTGTATTTTGTTGGTGTAGAGTTAGAGGTAAATACTGAGAAATAGTTTTAAATGTTAATACTTTATTTTGATATGGAGAGACGAAATGAAGGAAAGCAAGGAGATGTGTGGAAGGAAAGAACTGCCTGCCTGTGCCGCCCCTCTTATACCTGCGCAAGCATCGTTTGCAGAGCAGATCTGGGAGAGCAATGGATGACAAGGTGGTAGATCTAACAAGCCAGGAGTGGCATGAAGATCTTCAAGGCAGGGGTCAGAGATTTGCTTTTGCGGTATTGGATAGGGCTAGGAGAGGGGTGCAAAGGTTGGAAGATGAACTGAGAAACTCCCTGATTACAGTAGCCTTGGTGTAAGAAGCCAGGCAGGATTTATGACCAGAGAGGAAGCAGTTTACAACAGTGTAGATAAGGTTGGTAATGCATTCCTGATGGAAAGTGATTTAGAATTAATGATGAGCTCCGCTTGTTTAATTTTTCTATTTGGTGTCAAAATGAAGAGGATTGTTTGCTTTGCACACCTAATTTCGGATCCAGAGCAGGCAAGTCAGCCTGAATTGGGCTTATGTCCCTTTCAGTGTTTTGAGTGAGTTCTAAAACATAGTTTTGAATTTTCCTCTATATGTTTCCTAGATCTGATTTTATATATGCTTTTAGGACTGTTAATTTCATTTGGCTGCAATCCTAGCACTGGCAGGATGAACTGCATACCTGTATCTGTAGGTTGAACCAGACTGCACACACTGCGGAAATCCCCTGTCCATCTCCTGAGCTAGCCCAGGCAGACTTGCAGAATATGGAAGCAAAAATCATGGCGTTTCTTGGAAAAGACTGTTTTCCAGTCAGTCTGCTTTTTTTTTTTTTTTTTTTTTGTGCTGAGCTTACAATGGTTGAATCCAGATGATTTTGGTTTTTAACTGAACTTCCTCTGCATAATGAAAAATGCATACTGAGGGAGACTTCATAATGGATTTGTGTATGAAAGGCATGTAGTAAAATTAATCTGCCTAAATTCACTAAGGGTTTAGTATGATTTTGGTTTCTGTGGAGGAGATGGAAGTTGATTTTAGTGAGTTTGTAATGGCAGTGGTTACTGGGACATGAGTTCTGCACTGCACTCTGCATGTCCTATCCTATCCTGGCTGGAGTGGGGCTTTTGGAGTTCTCTTGTGATGGCAGGTTAGGTGTCACTTGTAGTGTAGAGCATAAGAGTATTGCATGGGATAACTAACCTTGAAGAGAAAGTGCTGAAAATTGGTTTAAATATTCACATACGTGTCAGTAAACTCACTGGATCCATCACATGTGGCAGAGGGTGGGAAGCAGGTTTCTGTACTTGAGTCTGGGCTTCCAGTGGGATGCTTTTATTAAAAGAGTTCTGCAGTGTGTGCATTCATAAACAGAAGAATATCACATAGGAGAAACAGTGTAGTATTTTGCAGAGAAGATCTAAATATCTGTTTGTTTTGTTAACAAAGAAAGTAAGCAAAGCCTCTAAAATTCTCTATTAAACTTTTCTAACTAAACTGATTTCTCAGTTTTAATTGCTAAGACTGAAATGTGCAATCTTTTAATTTTCACAGCATCTTTCTGCAAAAGATTCCGTGCAGCCATCTGAAGAGAAAGTGGGCACTTTCACCAGGATAATAGAAGCACTGGGTTTCACAGGACCACTGAAGTATAGCAGATGGGTAAAGCATTCAGTTAATAATTCTTTTGATTGTTTGATACTTTCAGAGTTCTAAAAAGCAAACAAAAACACCTCCACTATTTTCTTATGATAGGAGCAATACTTAATGGAACAGTTCTAATTATTACCCATGTAAATTCCTGGTTTGTGATGTGAGGAATAATAATCCATAGCTTGAATCTGCCTTGATGTATGCATTGCCATCATTGACTTAAGTAGGAATATTGTATTTGGTTTCTAGAGTCTAACACCTTCTTGAGTTTCTTTAGATGTTTATCAGTTCATTTTGCACCAGAGAACACAATGACAGCGTTGCTGTTGAAGTTAAACACCCCCAGAGACCATCATCTTCTCTGTAATAGTGACCAACTGCAATTATCTAGAAATAATGTGATTTCAGGAAAAGCATATTCTGATACTTGTCTCCTGTGCTGCTCCAGCCCACAGCAGTTGTCTGTTTCAGGACTTCCTGTGTGAAACTGGGCATTTTTCTTTAATATCTATCTATCTTTCTATGTATCTACTTGTCCACATGCTCTTTGAACTCTTGTAAGTTTATAGCACCCATAGCATTCAATATTAGGGAGTTCCATAGCTTGAGTCTCCACTAAAGGAAGAAGTACAGTTGCTATCAATTGATGCCTTTTTTTTTGTTGTTAGAGTGATTATTCTTTCCTTGGAGTATATGTTCACATTCTCCCTTCCACTGATGATTTTATAGATTTATATATTCCATAATATCTTAGTCTTTCTCTGAACTAAGGAGACTTAGTCTAACTTGTTTCTGTTACTGAGACTCTTTCATGTTTTGATTTTCGTTGCCCTTCTCTGAACCTCTTTCAGTATCTGTGTTTCTGTGACAGGAGGGTCTCCCCAACGGACAGTAGTGAGCTGTGTTCTCATTGCTCTTTGAGTCGGTGGTCAGTAGTAGCTGACAGTCACATATAGATCCTCTTCTTTCATGGTTTTTAAATAGTCCTTTCATAAGGCAGTAGTTAACATTGACTAAACTTACGAGTTCTGTAGGAGACACCTTGAGTTCCTTACACAGAAGGAAAAGACAGGAGTTGAAATTCATAATTTCTTGGCTCTGAACTAGAGCACAGTATAAAGGAGTGAGAGAAAAAGATTGAAAGAAGGGCTGAGCCGAGTTGTGGAGGAATTAAAACCCATAAGGTGCTTTCAAGTATCTGCAAGGCAGAGTGGACCTCTGAGACTAATGCTGATTGCATCTCGCTCCTTACGAAGAAAATATAAAGATAACTGACATTTAAGGGGTTTAGGGATTTGCTTTTAATCAGGTGATACTAAACCTCATGAGAGAGCAGTTTCTCTCCCGTGTGCTTGCATACATACTGTTGTAATAAAGTTTCTTGTTAGCTTGAAGTGTTGATTCAGAGTTCTCCTTAATTGCTACTCTTTACTGCCTGCTTTTGGCTGGGGAGCTTGGATTTGGAGGGAGTTATTTTGTGGTTAGGGCCCAAGAGACGTGAGTTCATTTTTGGCCTTGCCAGTGCTCTCTATGAGATCTTAGGGAAGTTTCTTAATATTTCTCTGCTCTTTTTCCATTTTCTTCTCCCTTCCCCCATACCTTTTCTATACCCTAAAGCTTCCATGATTAAATTTCACCAGTTTCTCCAGTATTACCCCTTTTTCTTAAAGACTGCATTGCAGGGACTGTTCTTTACAATATGTTTTTAATGTCTAGTAATGCCTGGTCTGGGGCAGTGGCTTTCACTGGAGAGATCTCCACTCCCAGGCCAGGCAGCATTTCCTTTAAAAAGGAATCCTTTGGAACTCCAGCAAGCAGTGTGAATTATTTTACTGCAAGAAGTTTAGATGTACACTTGATTTGTGACAGAAACCTGAGATTATTGAATAAGAAAAATAATGGGTCCTCTGTTGCCACATCAGGAGACCAGTTGAAACTTCTTTATTTTTCTTTTGGTTGGAGGAGATACAAGGAATTACCTTGGTAATTTGAACTGTCATTTGGTAGGCAGAGCGCTCATCTCTGTAGTACAGTGAGTGTAGAGGTGAGCCCTAGTGGATGTCATGTCTCTAAAAAGAAAACAACCAACCCAGGAATGAGTGGCAGCTATTCTCTTTAAGATCTTTGCTATCAGATATTGTGCTCTTACAAGCTTCAGCATATGTATCTTGGTTATAGATGATGCTCTGGAGGTGATTGTGGTGCAGTGGTAGGCCAAGAACAAAGTAAGAAGTGTCAAAGCACTTAGGTGTACCTCATGTCATTCATCACTTGGGATTCCTTGGTCACTTGTGAAGCTTAATTGGTCAATTTTCATTTTTGTAGGGGGAAAAAATAAAGAGATTTTTAGGACATACTTCTGTCTGCTATGTTAACTTCTTTAAGATTTAAAACTTAAATCACACAAAACACTGAGTGTTATATATCAGTTAAAGTTATTGGAGGAAACCAGGAACTGTGATTTGGAGTCTCTCTAAGGAAAGCCATTTTATTTTTCTGTAATGACAGAAAACAGGCTGAGAAGGTTGGTGCTGTTCAGCCTGAAGCAGAGAAGCTGCGTGGAGACCTCGGAGCAGCTTCCAGTGTCTAAAGGGATGCTGGAGAGGGACTCTTCATCAGGGACTGTAGTGATAGGACAAGGGGTGATGGTTTCAGACTGCAACAGGGGAAGGTCAGGCTAGATATAAGGAAGAAGCTCTTTACTGTGAGGGTGCTGAGGTGCTGGCACAGGGTGCCCAGAGAAATGGTAAATGCTCCATCCCTGGCGGTGTTCAAGGCCAGGTTGGACAGAGCCTTGGGCAAACTGGTCTAGTGTGAGGTGTCCCTGCCCATGGCAGGGGATTGCAACTAGATGATCTTAAAGTCCTTTCCAACCCAAACCATTCTATGATTCTATTATATTGTACTAGATTTGAAGGATATTAAAGAAACCATTCAATAATTTGGTTTTGCCTCAAGGTAAGTTTGATTCTATTTGTGTCGTTCCTGGGCTACACAATAGTTTAATGCACTCCTGAAAGCCTCAAGTGGTTGTGATTCTCAGGAGAAAGCTTTTCAGCAAATGCTAGTGTATGTATTTAACAAACCCAGTAGTGGTCAGTACCTCTCATGATGAATACCTGAAGTATTGTCTTTTCTTTATTGTCTTTAGAAGATTAAGGTGGCAGCTTTGCGCATGTACACGTGCTGTGTGGAGAAAACTGACTATGAGGAATTTTTTAACAGTAAGTGGTTGCCTTGCTGGTATTTGGAGAACTTCTGATGAAAATTCATTACATATATTTATACCAATAAATACAACAGCAAAAAAGACTTGTCAGCCCCTAACAGTGCATGGTCAACTAGAAGCTAAGGGTGCTACAGCATCACCTTGAGCTCTGAAGTGACAAAGGTTCAAGGGTAGGCTCTGGAGCCTGGGATTGTTACATTTTTGCCTGTTGCAATGGAGAACAAGAGCAAAGGTGGGATAGGCAAAACCCAGAATATCCTGGACTTCGAAGGATACTGCCTTTTTTTTCCTACCGGGGTGGGATAAACTATGAATCCAGGTATCTCTTTCCTTTTTACTGGGGTCAGGTGGTCTCTGTATCCTACCCTGTCCCATGACCAGTTGTGAGAAGGTCCAGTGTAACTCAGATGCAGGTATGAAACCATCCCTATCCTGATGCACAGCTTCATTTATGATACAGTCAGTTAGATCACAGTGTCCTACCTATCTGTCTTCATTATGGATGGGGCAGGTTTGGCTGGAACTTAAGAGACTCTATGTTTTACTGACCACGACAGCATTAAACCAAGACACATCTCTTGACTGTGTAGAGAGTATGAGTAGAAGAGAGACACAAGTCCCTTCTTTAAGTATATAGGCATGGGTTTGATGGATGGACCACTCAGTGAGTGCTTGCTGCTGCAAGATTTTCCAGTGGTTTTCAGAAGGTTTTCCAAAACTATGATGTGGTTTCAGTGGTTGCAGGAGTGAGAGAACTCTGTGAGCAGTAGGAGACATCATTAGTGATCAAAAAAGGAGGATCTCATTTTTCCCTGTGCACATACCTCTCCCCAGCTGTGTGTCCTCCCAGGCTTTCTCAGAGAAGTTCTCTTCTGTTTGTGATATTTGCCTCTCAAATAGAGGCTTTGCTATTTTTAACTGGGGTTTCACTATCTCTGCTTAAGAGATTAATTGTGCAAAGAGATATAAATGTTGCCCTAGATTAAAATTTAAAGGAATTTCAGAAGATATCTTTGAAACCATACTGGCACAGGTTTTCAGGCTCAAGACTGGTGAAATGACTTCAGTTGTATTCTTAATATTGTCATACTCTTTTAAAAAGAGAAAATTCCCAGAGCTTCCCCGCACTTTACACGTATCACAAACAGCAGTCAGCCTTTCCTTCAAGTTTCACTGTTTTCTCCAAAACTACTTGTATTTTTGCTCTGTAATGCAAGTTGTAGCCAGTCCATCTCTGAATTTACACCCAGGATAACATAGGCTTGCATTGGCTTGAGGCTTTTGTTAGGTAAGGAACAAGATCATTTGTTTTGCTGAGTGACAGTTTGTTGGTGTTCTAAGAACACACACAGTGTCTATGGCTGTGGTTCCAAAGAAATCATTGCTTTCAGAGGAAAACAGATATAAGAAGTTTCAGTTACTTCTGTCTACTTACAGCTGCAGTTGTTTGGGAGATGAGCTCTAAAATTCAACAGGCATGTGATCCATGTTTAAGAAGTAATTCCTCTAAAGCACGGATTATATGATGAATTGATTTTGCCAATATAGAAGCTTTAGGTTGTGGTTCCATGGGCAGCTGAGTCAGAGTAGTGGCCAAAGAGAAAATGTTCACTCTCCATCTTCCTCTAGCTGTTTCCTGGACTGGACAATTATATCCTCTGGTGAACTGAAAGAAAATGGCCCAGTTTTGAACCAAGTTAGTGTTTTAGTGTGTTAGTGAATGTAAGTGGCACGTGGAAGGGTATGGTGGACAGCAGCTGTGGCATAAAGTAGGTGGTGAGGGGAACATAGCCTTTCACATAGCTTCTGGTGGGGCCACCAAGCAGCTTGAAAGGACTGGAGTTTACCTCCAGGATTCTGGATTCCTCTATCTCCCTTAGCCCATCAGGTGCCTTACAGGCACTTTGCTCTCTGTTGTGCACATGGGAACACTGACATAGTGCACCTGAACTGTTTTTTTGCAGGAAGTGGGGATATTGTCCCATTGCGTCCTTCCTAAATTGTGGTAGTGGCAAAGATGATCTGTCATGAAAGAAAGTCCACGTTCAAGTTTTGCATCCCTTACCTGATGAATTTTAAGTGCAGAGTATGACTGGAGGAAGAGGTACGTCCTCATAATCCTGAGCATTCATGTCTCTTACCATATGCAGACATGTGAGCAGGATGTGTGCTGTGCACAGGTTTATTCCCCAGCTGATAATAGTCACAGTCATTTCGTAGGTAGCTTTATTACCAGACATTTTGTTCTGTATCTAACTGTGTTTTGAAAGGAATAGTTTTCTGTTTCATTAGAGGATGGCTCTGTCTCCCCAGTTAGTTTCCCAGAATAAAGTGTTCCAACCCCCCAGATTTTATAATTGCATTCCTTTTAAAAAGCTGATATCTGAGGGCAAGCTTGGTGCTTTAAAGGAGCTATCCCACCTTTCAGTTTACACTGTAGATGGTCCAAATATAGAAGTGAAAAAAATGGATTATAAAAATAGAAGTTGGAAAGCTAGAAGAAAAAATTCTCCCCTCTTGGGTACTGAATAGGGCTTTAAAAACTTTCTGTATTTCCAGTGGTAGAGGTGTGAGCTTTGCTTTCCACTGAAAAGTGATTTCTGTGGTGGGAGACTGATACATGACAACTTCTACTTCAGAAACCTCTGTTGAACTAAGTGCTTTACTCTGAATCTTGCCTCTGGAACCTTCATTTAATGAAATGGTTTGAATAATGCAAGCATTGTGTACTCTTGCCCTAGTTAGAGATGTCTTGGCATGCCTTTAGGTCAAAGTAGTCATTTCTAGGCACATGAATATTTCTAATAGGAATGAGAGAGCCAAAAGGGGAGAAGGGTGAGGGAAACCTCTGTTTCCAGACATAGAGTGTCTTAGAGGTGGCATAGGTGACGTATAGACACTGATGCTGAAGCTTGGCACCTCCTAGGCACTGATGGAGTCATCTCTCTGGGGAGGCATGACTAGTGATGAGTTGCTTAGTGGTTCTGGTGGTTGCCTGACCATATAAAAAGAAAGAGGCTGTGAATCTCTTTGCTAAGACTTGAGAGACAAGAAGTATAGAAGTCAGGAAGGGAGTAGATTCAACATAGAAAACATAAAGTTGACTTCCTTGGGGCACATCTGACTGGAGAGTCCATTTCTGAATACCCTGGCCTTCATACAGCTAAGTCCAGAAGACAAGACCAGGTGGTGGGTAGGCCAAGGTGATCAAGATCCTTTGCCTTAGGTACTCCTCTTAAAAACTTATCCAGGAAACAGTTGTAGAGGTGACTTCCTAGGAGGTAGGTTTGAGATTGGCAGGAACTGAAGGACTTAATGTGCACATAACCCATAGGTCCACGCTGTTCAACCATGTAGAAGAGGAATATGGTTTCTGTGCCACATAGCCTAAATCTCCAGTCTCGCATCCTAATGGCACATGTAGATCCATAGTGGGAGTATGCATGTGGACTCACCATCTCTGGAAACCCAGTGGTTCTCAGAGTAGAACTAAATCTGGAAACAGAAATTGTTACTATGGTTAGTTGGTGGTTTTAATCCTAATGTAGAACAGTTAGAGGCAGGGTATGCTCAGAGTGCTGTAGGTTGTACAGCCATGTAGTAAATCAGAACAGCAGAGTAGGAGCAGAGACCCAGCCAGTACATGTTAAAGTAAGAGTGTAAGAATGGAGGGAAGACATCCATTGATACTTCCCTCTTATTCTCTACTGCTTTGGGACTTCCTGAGCTAGAAGCCATATGTTTGTCTAATTCTCCACTCCCAAGTATTATCTAAGTGAGATCAAAACACACAAAATCTTTGGGATATACAGCATCCTGTGGCTGCTTGTTCTGGAGTTTAAGCACAAGTCTGACAGTAAATGATGTTTGCTTCTGATATGTATGTAGTGTATAGGGTCAGAAATGAAACTACTAAAATGTATTTAGGTTTTGGGGTAGTGAATTTCTCTTTTGGTGCAAAACATGATGAAATTCATATTAATATTTACCTTTGTTCTTGTGGTTTTTCCCCCCTCTCTTCAAGGGTGCCGAATGCCTGACACTTTGAATTCATGGTTTCTAGTAGCCCAGCTTCATGTCTGGTAAGTGAAAAATAAACTAGTAATATAAATGTTGTCAGGAAAAAGAGTGATATGTACCTTAACGTGAAAAGTGGGCTCCATGGTTCCTGATAGTAGTGGTCATGTTCAGTTTACTTGTTCCTGAATTGTAGCCCATCTCTACTAAAGAACAAAAAGAGCCATACAGAAGCTAACATCTTGAAGTTCCTCAGGAATGGAATGATTTCTGCCATAAGTTTTCTAAAAGCCTTCTCAGCCCATGTGGAAAAAACCTTAGTTGGGTGTTTTAGGAAAAGTTTATATTTAAATTTATGTAAAATTTGTGGTGATTGAAGTTGCTGCTCGTCAGAAGCGTTTAACAAATTATAGCACTGGCATTTATTCCTGCACCTCTGAAATGTACATGCAGGTTGGTGAATGCCAACTTGGCTACCTGCAAAAGTATTTAACACCTTAAACATTAAGTTTTTTCCTTTTTTTTTTTTTTTTTTCCTGATTTGTGAAAATAGTGGCCAAAAAAATCAGGTTTTCATCTAGCATTACATCTTTGTAAAGGTCAGAGGGATGCACAAGGGAGTAGAGTAATTTTTGTGAAGTGCCAGATCTTTCAGGAGACTGAAGTCCATAGACTTTGGTTCAGCTATCCAAAGGCTGAAAGGAAGTTTGTACTGAAATAGCTGCACTTAAGCATAGGCCCCTTATTTCCTTGTCTCCTTTTTTACCCTTTCCCTCCTTTTCATTTCCTGTCTCCTCTGTATATTGAAAGATGGGGCAGCTTATTTCACTAAAGAATGAAGAAATTAGCAGAACTGTTGACATTATAATCAGTTAGTGATGTGGAATCAAGTAAGGAAGGCCCTTGAGATTGGCAGATTGTGTACTTCTTGCTGTTCCATGTGGAAAAAAGGCTTTAAAAAGTGAATAAGGTTCATATTGATATTTGGAAAATGACTAAAATATTCAAACCCAAACTGTAAGTATCTGGGGGGAAAACAAGGAGGGATAACATGAATCTGCAAAGAACACCATGTTTTTTTCACATCATCATGATTTTGCATAAACAGGAAAATGTACCCTGTGATACACAGCATCAAGAAGTATAATGCAACAGCACACCTCAACTGCATGGCACTGAGCCACCTCACAGCAGTTGACAGGGTGGTGTCAACTACCACTTGAGGTGGTAAACCAGTCTGCTGGCACTATGGGAATACCAACAGGAGCGGTTGTAGCTGAGGCTGTTATGGGAAGCTGCTAGATCTCATCTAAGATGGGTCAACTTAGAGAAGCTCCTGTTCCTTTTCAGGCATCCTTTCATATGATTTTCTTCTAACATAATCTCTCTGCATAACTGCGTCAGTTATCCAACCCAACAAATTTCAGTTAGATTTCCAAAGATAGTTTGGAATAATTTTGCTTTCATGGTTTGATGAAGATGAGTCAGTATTTGACTAAGCTACAGAACAGATTCTGTAGTGAAATGATAAAATGTTTCACACTGTGGTGATCGAGTTAGAAGCTTTTATAATCTTTAAAGAGTCTGTGTCTTTTAAACCTCAGACAGCAGGTGTAGTAACAAACTACCAAATTCTCAAATAAACTGCAGTATTCCATGATCTCACCCATGGTGCTGCAGAACAGCTCTGTGACAGCAGTATGCATCCAAACACAGAGCTGCCTTTTAGGCTTCGTGGGTAGCAGGCATTACTCGGAACACTGCTCCAGTCCTGCTCATCAGTGAGTAGTTGTTAGCTGTTGGTCTGTGCACTGCTCCCCTCCTGCTACACCACCACTGAAGGCAGGCTGGGTAGGAACCAGTATTGATGCTCGGGAGGAGAGGAGCTTTTCTTCCTAAGCCACTCTTACTTTCCCCCACCACATTTACCCAAACTTGCGTATTCAGCAAGAGAAGTATAAAAATGCTTTTCTTAGCCCCAAATTAGTCTTTTAAATTGAGTTTTTTGACTTGTTAAGAGTGGGTGAAAATTTGAAACACGGTTACTTACTAATTAACTTTTTCATACAGCTCAGTTACGTAAATGCATGAGAGGAACAAAGGTTTTGAAACTGGTAGAAGTAAAACACAAGTTTTAAGCTCTTTTTCCATTTGTTTTGTGGACTGGTAACTGGACAGCTGTTCTCTGAGTTCTGGACCACTGTTTTAGCAGGCAACTTTGTCATCTTTCTAGGAGCAAATTGAGGATTCATTTCTTGATACCATCCTAATTGCACTGGTTTGCTGGGACAGTGGTGCTGTTGGACAGGTACCGAGTCGTCACTGCCACAATATAACCCTTGGGAATCATTGCACAGCTCTCTTTGCCACAGTATTCTCAACATTCCCTTCACTGACTGCTGCCTTTCCCCTTCTCTACCCAGAGTGTCTCAGTCATTCTACTGTTGGGTGTCATTGGGTCTACTTACCATGTCCCAGTCCCTCTCTCCTGTCTTCTGACCTCATTTTTGCCCTGGCTTGCGTTGGAGCCTGAGCTGTCTCTTTTATGGCCAGTGTCATTTTCAGCAGCTCTCCATCTAGAAATCACATTCTGGTCTGTGGGCTTTTCTTCTTTCTATTCTGGTGTTTCAGTTGAATGGCCCTTCAGTGTATGGGACTTCAGTGTATGGTTCTAACAGAAAAAAGAATTTGGGGCTAATGCAGTTTTTGTTACCTTCAGCTCGTTTTGTCTCTGTGACTCATAACTGGCAAGAAGTTTTGCTTTCTTTGCAGGTTAAAAAATATCTTTTCTTTACTAATAGCATACAAGATAGAATCCATCATAAAGACTGGCATCTGTCCTTTTATAGGTCAGCTCAACAGACAAGCTTCAAGCATTTGATTCTCCCTCTTGAGCTGGCGTTCACAGATCACCAAATACTTCTAATGCCTGTGGGGAGGCCCAGATCTTATGTCCACAGAAGATATGAACAGATTTAAAAAAAAAAATCATCATATTTACCTGCAACTTTTGTGGCACATTCACTGTTGTTAATATCCAACTGCTTCAAAGTGGCCCCCAGCGGTTTTGCTCTGTTGTTTTTACGTGAGCTGTGAGAAGGATTTCCTATGAGCAGTTACCCACCTGTAGCATGTCTCTGTGCAAAGTAGTGACTTCTTCCAGCTCCAGTGTTTGAGCATCACCTTGTCTACAGTCAGTCCTGGACAGGCAGTTCTGACTCAAACCCCAGGAGCAGAGCTGTTAGTGAGGTGAAGGAGGGCCTGGGGATGGGGCTGGACTCCTGGCTCATGGAGGGATTAGCTGCTGTTTCAGTTCATGCTGTTTACAGATGTTGTAAAAGAAGCCAAATACAGTTTCTTATTTATGTTTTAAACAGAACAGCAGCAATGAAGTTCAAGTGGCTTTAATGCTTAAAAAAGGAAACCAACTCAACCTGGTATTCTCATTAGGGTCCCACAATACACTTACTAACTTGTGAGTTCTTGTAGGTGTACTGTGTGAGGGGTTTTGCCAAGTGGTTGGACGTGCATCCAAAGACCCTTGTAGCTGAAATAATTTAGGGCATTGCTAATGTGAATTTGGGTGAAGTCTGTAACTTTCTTAAGCTTTCACACCTTGCCTAGTTCAGGCTCTTACAGCACTTCAGTGTACCAAGCTGAATTACAGCTGGCTTCTAGCCTAGGGTTAGACAAGGCATTTGTTCCAGCTCCAAAGGGTGATGTGTTCTTAAGGCTGAGGAATTTAGGTTGCAGTACTGTTTAACTAGATTACAGTACTGTCAGCAAGAATAGAGTCTACTGTCACTCTTCCGTGGCTGGATTGGCCAAAATCCAGCAGGTACAAGCAGCTCTTGAGTGCAGAATAGAAAAGTTTGTGATAGTTTATTTAAATAAATAAATCTCTATGTATTTTTTTCCTGAGCACAGTACCACATGCTGTAAGGAGAATCTTAAATGAGTTGAAATATATTTAATTTACTCTTTACATTTGAATTAAAACTAGGAAGTATGAACTTGCTGTTTGTGTTCTTGCAGGATGTGTCTGGTCCGCATGAAGCAGGAGGGTCGCACAGGAAAATACATGTGTCGCTATATAGTTCACTGCATGTGGGAGGATGTGGAGCAGCGTGGTAAGGTGATGGGGGTAAGTCACCTTTGGGGTTGATAATCTTGACGATTCACATCTTTCAGTGATTTTGTAACTTTGCATGTTTTAGAAGAAGGCCTAAGAATCAACCTGTAGCTGCTTGTTTATTTCTGCATTAGCTTTAGCTGATATATGTAGCCCTTACTCCTGACCGTGCATTCTTGCAGCTGTACTGCCTGTTGTCTTGAGCCACTGACCTTATTTCTTAAACTGCACCATGGCCTGGATGAAGATACTCATTTCTCTGACAGTAATTAATTTTCCATGTGGTTTGCCATGTGATTGCAGAAATGGATGCTGCTATAATAGAATGGGCATTTGTAGATAGGAATAAGCAGCTGAGGCAGGGAGAAACATGATTGGTGCCAAATGTATAACTGCAAATTAAGTAATTCCAGCAGAGCTTTGAGTTTCCTCTGTATATAGGATGGTGAGTAAGAGGAAAGTTAAGGGACAAGGTTTTTACTGTAACATTATTGTAACTAGTCATTAGTTTATTTTTCATTTTGAATTCTTAGTATCCTGAGTCTTTATCATGAAGGAGACGTCGTGAGGAGAGCAGCTCCAATGATGGTTCATTTACAGGTTTGAAGGAAGAACAAGGTTGGATTTTTTTGGCCTACTCTGAGGAGAGTTATGCTACTTAGTTGTAATGGTAATTTCTGGCCTTAAAGTCTCTTAAGTGTGTTTCTCCAGCCTTGTGCTGGTGATGGTCTTCAGAGAAGACAGAGCAGAATCAGGAAGAAGATTAACTCTATGCTAGCCAAAACCAGGACAAAGTAGGAGATAGTTTTCATAGCCCCAGTATCACAGTGGTAACAGGAGACCTGATACAGGTCTCTTGAGGATGCTTCGGTAAACTTTAAGGGAAAAAAAAGATAGTGCTTACAGTCAGTTCTTTGTAAAGGGAAGCACAGGGTTTCCATTTCTGCAAACTAAGTATTCCATTGCTCCCTAGAATTCCCCAAAGTGTAAAAAAACCCCAAACTCCAGTGTCCTTATGTTTTCATCCCATCTGGAACCTCAAATGTTAATACATGCGTATTATAATGACACGGTTGCTGTATGATGCAACTGCAAGGAGATCTTAAGTTGTTTGAATGCCATTCATTCTTTGCCTTGGCAGGTTAGACATCTTTTCAGTTTATCCTTGAATTTCAATTTCACAATCTTTGTTTGTAATAACAAGCATGCTTAGTTTGCAGTAATACGATTCCTGTAATATACTTTGGACAGTAACGTAGTGTTCACATTGCTTTTATGTGGCAATAGCTGATGCTTAAATGAAATATGTACGTGTTTAAAGGCTTGATCTCAAAACCAGTTACATCTGTGTGTATATTTAATATAGTTTAGCTCCACAGAGGCCCATTGATTACAATGAGACTCCTTGTGAGAGAATGTGAGAATTACCTCCTGAGGTAACAGCAAACTAGACTGGGCACTAAGGGTGTGTATGAAAGCACAGTGACCTCTCCGAGACTGTAAACTTGGAAATGAGGACTGTTCCTGCCCCATCATGTTTTGGCAGGCACAGAATCTTTTAGTGATCTTTTTTTTTTTTTCATCTTTTAATTATTCCTAATCTTTCAGTCATTATTTTTGTCAAGATGAATGAACTTTTTTGTTTCTTTAGTGGTATTTGTTGTTTGTTAATGTACTGATGTTTGAAGAGGTTAGCTGTTCCCTTGCTCCTTATCACTGCTTTATTTACCTTCCTTGGTACTGGTGATCCCGGCTTAATGTACCATTTCACCCATGCTCCTGCATGGGCAGTTCCTATTTCTTCCGTGCTTGTTCACAAGAGTGCTTGTCCACTTTCCTTCACTTACTTTCTTCCCCTTCACATAGATGTACCCTGATTGAACTCTGTCTCACATCTCAGCTTTAGCAATTGCAAGGAGTTTTAAGTCATAAGTAAAGGGCAGTTACCCTCGGTGTTAGGTTCACCTTATTAATCTTGATGTATTTGGCAGTGTTCAAGGCCAGGTTGGACCTGGCTAGTGGTAGGTGTCCCTGCCCATGGCTGGGGTTGGAACTGGATGACTTGGAGTCCTTTCCAACCTTGGCCATTCCATGATTTTGTAATTCTCTTTATCTGTAATAGCTCTGTTAAAATGAAGCTGAGGTAATGACAAAAGTTTTGTGAGCTGGTCGAGTAACACGTGTGTTTATTTTCAGTAATTTAGTCCTGCAATCAGTATATATTCTAACTCCGAAAGAAGACATTTAAATATATCAAGACAGAATAATAGATAAAAAGATAACATTAATATTCCTTTGTTAATGCTTTCAAATTTCAGAATCTGAGCCTTCTCAGAAATAAGTTAAATGAAAAGAAACTTTACTGGATACTATTAGGGCACTAAGTTATCACCTGCATAGCACTTAGGAGGTTAGGAAATGCCATTCCCTGCTATTTTCTCATGCAGGGTATCAAAGGTCAATATTTAACTCTGGTTGGTGCATTCTTGTATTGTGGTATAAGTGACAGAGCACCTGTATGAAACTGCGGGTTGGATGCAGTTCGTTTAACTTGTTGACAAAGCTGCAGTTCTTCAGCTCATTTCCATATTCAGCAACAATTCCAATGCCTGATGCAGATAATGGATACTATATTCCTGAATTGATATTGATGGTTTATTAAAATATACCATCTGCTCTTAAATACACAAGTTCATTGGAGCCGAAAGTGACAGAATGTGAGGCATTTTAACTACTCATTTACATCAGCTCCAACTCCAAAGGGAGTTTGTATTATTTCAAAACCTGGTTGTTAAAAGTGCTGAGATCTAAATCTCAGCTACAAAGTTTTGGGACCTGTTAGCCTGAGCTCCTTCAGCACTCCTGAATGTCGGCAAGAGTCAGAAACCCAAACTTGACACAGCTGTAAAAACACAGCGAGAGCCTGTGGCCTCAGCAAATTCTACTGGTACAGGCATATTTCAGATATAAATTTTACTCTGCTGTCCCTAGTACTAATGAAGTCAGTTTCTTTGGGTGGGTTTGCAGCCAGGTGTGTCCAGTTCTGTGGCTAACCAGTGCTCTTTACTTAATTTTTCCACTAGTGACATTTCTATCAAACTTTAAAAACAAACAGAAAAATTGGCTTGGTGCAATGGCTCAAAGTGTTAATAGTAACATTAGGCTGGGTAAAAGACTTCCTTTGGATCCTACTTTGCCAGAGATCTCCACCTCGTGGCTTGCAGGGCATGGATTTGTACTGTGCAAACTGGCAGCATCACTTTGTGAGGGGAATTCATTTAGTACTAGAAATTTGCTTCTAGTACTAGGAATTTGTCTTCCTAACAGAATTCTTCAGCAACTCGAGTTTCAACCTCACTGACCTGAGTATTGTGTTTTAATAACTGTGTGTACGTAAAAGCAATTGCTACAAGAGTAAGTGTATTTTAATACCCTTAAATGAAGCTGCAGAGTTGAGCAGAGGGACTTGGAGGTACTGGACTTCCCTGGAACAGGATTTCACCTGATAATGGGACAATAGATCTGAGGTTAAAAAAGACAACCAACCCCACCCCAACAGAACACCAAAAACCCAACGCCCTTTCCCCACCCCCTTCCTCCTCCTCCAAGAACCCCATTCTTATACTCCTGGGTGCAAATCCGACGCTGTCTTAGAAAGATCCATTGGGCTTTATTCAAATACCTGTAAATTGTTGTAGGCTCATTTTCAGTGTCAGTCTCTTGTGTTGTGACATTCATGGTTGAGGGTGAGGCATCCCTGCCCATGGCAGGGGGATTGGAACTAGATCATCTTAGGGTTCTTTCCAGTCCAGACCAGTCTGTGATTCTATGATTCTGCTTCTGAAACGAGTATGGTTTTTTCAGTGCAAAAGAACAATTCATTTTGCAACCATACATGTTCTAAAAGCTGCAAAAGAGATAAGAACAGGAGGGGTTGTCAAGCCCCGTGTGCCAAACCTGTTTAATTTATCTTAATATCACTTCCCTGTATTCCCACTGGACCACTTAGACCCCTGCCCCCTTTTTTTCCAGGAACACATCTAGGTGTCTTTTGAATTTGTTTATTGGCTCTGCTGTGCATAGCACAATACAGTCTTTGTTACACTTTTAGCTGGAGCTGTTCACGTACAGTGACCCATAATTTTCTCTCAGTTACATTGGTGAACATCTGAAGTAATGCCATCAGACCCAGTAATGTGGTTCACATGAGTGTAACTGAGAGCAGAATTGAGCTCTGTGAACTTGAACACCATTTTCTTTCTTCACAATTAGAATACTTCAGGTGATTAAAAAATGCTATTTTACCTTACAGTGGCTACAGAACTTCCTAACCTTGGGATATATAACCTTGTTATAACCGTATAACCAGTTTAAGCTATTCTTATGTAGACACTTTTAACTAAAGACTCAGAAATCAGAGTAGACGAGGGAGTTTGTAGAATGGCTTTAGAAGATGAGAGGATGGGATGTAAAAATGGATAGAATTTTAAAAGAGAACTTGGTCTTTGTATGACTTGAACTATTGCAGTTGCTTCACCTGCAGTGGGAAGCTACTGTACTTGAATACTGGGGCTTCCTTTTCAGGCCTGTATCTAAATTCTGATGGGAAGCACTAAGTCGGTTTAGGATGCACAGGACAGAAACTACATTATCATGGGAGAGATGGCAGTGTTCAAGGCCAGGTTGGACAGAGCCTTGGGTGACATAGTCTAGGATGTGGTGACCCTGCCCATGGCAGGGGGTTGGAACTAGATGATCTTAAGGTCCTTTCAAACTGAAACCACTCTCTTATTCTAAGGCTCCAAACTGGGGCAGATGGAGAGTGTGTGCGGTGTTCTGGCAGTGTGGTGGAGGGGGAGTTGAGATGGACAAAGGGTACTGAAGCAAAACGTCACAGAGGAGGTAGTGATTTTGTTTGAGGAAATCAACTGGGATATAAGAGGATAGTGTTTACACAGTACACTTGAAAAAGGGTTTTAAAAACCCTATAAAACTTAAAGAGGAAAAGTTTT